GCACCCCCGGCCAAAGGTCGCTCGTGAGCGCCTGGTGCCAAGGGGGCCGTTTCAGGGAGCGGGGAGCTGCAGCGGCGGTGCCCATGCCGGGCAACGCCAGCCCTCCCCGGGCACTGGTTTTTGCGTTGGCACCCGGGGAAGGTTTGCAATTAGGCAGGGAGGGGCGATAAGATCGCGCTGGCGGTTGGGGTGATGGATGGGACCTGCAGCAGAATAAGAACACGCTTATTGCGCGGCCACGTCATCAAATACACACACATAGATATATCCATACCCATATATCTCTATCTGTATATCTATATATATAGTTTTCCCGGCTCCCGGGCTGCTTGCTGAGCAGAAAGCCTCCAGGCACTCTGCGAGGCACTGGGGCACCAGGGAAGAGCAGGGAGGGCAGGATCCGGCCCTCGCCCGGGCGCTGGAGCGGCCCAGGGGCAGGGGGGTTGAAACAGGGTGCCCCGGGAGACCCCCACCTGCTGCCCGGCTCGGGGTCTGTCACCCCTTTGCTCCGTGCCTCAGTTTCCCCTCTCAGTGGTGCGGCTGGAAACCCGTTAGCCCGGCAAAGAGGAGCCCGTCCCGGCGGTGCGGCCGGGAAGGTGCCGGGGCAGGGGATGGCAGCGCTGAGGCCGGGCGCGGTGCTTGCAGTATCGCGTGGGGCAGCTCTACACCATCAGCAAGCACAGTCACCAGGAGAGCGAGAAGGGCGAGGGCGTGGAGGTGGTGAAGAACGAACCCCACGAGGACCCTGTCCACGGCCCCGGCCAGTTCACCGAGAAGCGCGTCCACCTCTCCAGGTGAGGCCGCGGCTCCGGCAGAGGGTACTGGGTGGGGTGGGGGCCCCGGCGCCCCGGCTCCGTGCGGCAGCGCCGCGGTGGGGGGCATGGGCAGGCATCGGGGTGGCCCCATCCCTCCCTCCAAAATTCCTGGGGCGCATCCTTTCCGGGTCCTTGACACCCTGCGGTGTGGCTGCACCCGTCTCCCAGGGGTGCACCCATCATCTTCAGGGGCTGCACCCATCTCCTAGGGGTGCACCTATCTTCAGGGGCTGCACCCATCTCCTAGGGGTGCACCCATCTTTGGGGGCTGCACCCAACTTCAGGGGCTGCACCTATCTCTCCAGGTGTATCCGTCTCCTGGGGTGCACTTATCTTGGGGGGCTGCACCCATCTCCCAGGCATGCACCCACCTTCAGGGGCTGCGCCCATCTCCCAGGGTGCACCCATCTTCAGGGGCTGCACCCATTTTTGGGGTCTATCTCCCAGGGTGCACCCATCTTCCTAGGGGTGCACCCATCTCCCAGACATGCACCCATCTTGCAGGGGTGCACCCATCCTTGGGGGCTGCACCCCTCTCCCGGTGGGCACCCATCTCTGGGTACCGGTGGGTGCCTCGGCTGTGGCACGGGGCTCGGCGGGGACACCCAGGCTGCTGCTCAGCCCGTGTCTGGGGGTGTCCCCACACGCAGCTCTGGGTGCCCGTCGGGCAGCCGCTGGCACCCGGTGCTGCTGTCCCCGCGTCCCCGCCGCCGGCTGCGGCACGCCACGGTGCGGGCATCGACTGCTCCCTCGCCGGGGAGTCGCTGGCGTGAGACGGGCTATTTTTAGCTGCAGCACTCACGATTCCCCTCTCGGGGATGGTATTTATAACGCCTGCAAATTAATCAAAACCCACCTCCCTGGGGGCCTGATCCTGCCCTGGGAGCGTGGGCAGGCACTGGGTGCTGGGCAGGGGCAATGGGGGCACCATGGGGTCCTGGTCCTGGGGAGGCTGGGGGGTCCTGGGGAAGGGGTGGGGGTCCCTGGGGAGGTGGTAGGGGTCCCTAGGGAAGGGGGTAGGGGTGCCTGGGGAGGGGTTGGGGGTCCTGGGG